AAGTATGACGGCGAAGCGTACCCTTTCACAACAACAAAAGATGATCTGCCCGCAATATACGTCGCAAGCCATGACAGTACAGACCCTCCAAAACCAAAGTGAGACAATTTTTCCACTAACAGTGAATGGTTAACTTTATCGAACGCCTTGGAGAAATCCGTATATATGGTGTCAACCTGTATACGCGAGTCAACTGATTCAGATAGGAAGGTTATAAAATTACTTAAGTTGGTAGCAGTAGATCTACATCTAGTAAATCCGTGTTGCACATTAGATAATAGGCGTTGTACATGACTAACAATAATTGGACATAGAAGGGCCTCCAACATTTTGGGTAGAACTGAGATCATTGAAATAGGTCGATAATTAACTATATTGCTTCGGTCCCCTTTTTTGTAAATCGGCACTATTCTCGCTTGTTTCCAAATATCAGGATAGATTCCGGACTTAAGGGATTCGTTCTATATAATACTAATCGGTAATGAAAGGGGTTCTGCACACCTTAGCAAAAATACAGGAGGTATATTATCAGGACCGGTACTTTTATTTAAATCTAGTCTTTTTAGTTTCTTAAAAACTTCGAATTGAGAAAATTGAATAGAACATAGAGAAATATTAGAAACTGTGCCCAAGACAACGCTTCCCGAAGTATAGTTATTGTCATATACTGACGAAAAGTGTTTAGCAAATAAGTTACAAATACTAACTCCATCTGATGCTGTTTGATCTTCTAAGACCATCCTAGAGGGGTAAGTGTTTGAAGATTTTTTTAAGTCCTTAAGATGAGTCCAAAAATATTTAGGATTCTTCGATATATTTGATTCAATCCTTTCGATGTAGCATTTATATTGCTCTTTAATTGATTTGTTACAACGTTCGCGTAAATTGATAAATTCTAAACGGTCAAGAGGATTTTTATACTTTTTGTATTTCAGTCTAAATTTGTTTTTTGCTTTTAATAAATTTATAAGTTTTTTAGTAAACCAGGGTGGATATATATTATTTTTAGGTGTAAATTTGGGTACGTGTTTTTTAATTACTTCGTCCAATTTTTGGTAGAAGGTCGTTAGCATAATATTAACGTCTTCGTACTTCGATAGGAGATCTAACCAGTGTATTTCATTTAAGTCCGAAACTATTTTCTCGTAGTCAGCTTTGTAAAATTTTAATCTCTCATTGTGCATTTCCTTGACGACTTGTTTTTTGTTAGTAATCACTGTTATCTTTAAAGGCGGGTGGTGACTATCAACGATACTTATGGGGTTACTACTCTCATTGATTATAAGTTCAGTGGAATTACATAGTATCAGATCTAACAGTCGTTGGTTACCGTTAAGAACAGAATTAAACTGGTTAAGGGCATTTCCCTCTATAAACTCGGAAAACATTATTTCGAGATTACTACTGGGGGTACCAACAAGTCGCAAATATGAAACTCCTGGCATTTCAGACCACGTAAGGTTACCAAGATTGAAATCACCTGCCAGTAATATATGATCGTTTTGACTGATGACGAAATTCTCATGAGATATAAAATCTTCTAATTTGTCTTTTGCGACTGGGGGTGGTAGGTAGACCGCACAAATTGCAATATGAGTGGATCTACCCGACTTTGAATTTTTCTGACAATTGTCACCCATATATCTTCGCAACTACTTTCCCACATCATCATACGACGTGATACTATATCATTCCTAACTGCTATTATAACACCGCCTCCGTTCATCGCTTTTCTATCCCTTCTATAAACTGTGTATCGACTATCAAAAATTTCTCCATCGAAAATACTATCATTAAGCCAACTTTCTGTCAGTATATAAATACCATAATCATTGTTCAATATATTTAATTTGACGTCCCGACATTTACTACGTAGACCTCTAACATTCTGATAGTATATTTTTAAGAAGTCCATTAAACTCAAAAACAAAAGAAAGCAAAGCAGTTACAACTAAAATTCGACAGCAACTCAAAGACAATACGAAATTAACTAATTATTAAAAACAACTAAAAACTAGATTATGTCAGTGACTTTAACTGGCTAGCGTCGCGAATAATTATGTGCTCCGATGTCTCCGTTTTTCTTATGTATATGCGTCCATTTTTAATCCACACGAATTTGTATTGTAGTTTTTTAGCGGCTTCTCGGGTTAGTGCATGCAATTTTTTTACCTCCGGGGCCAGGTGTTCGAGAACATAGATTGGTCTTTTATCCCCACCATACCCGATGTGGCTCGTGTTTAATTTCTCGTTGCGGTGCTTCTTGTTAAATTGTATCACACCTGCCAGGAGCTCATCACGAGTCCGAGGACTCGAGAAAGTAACCACAACAGAACGCGGACGTTTACTTTCGGGATTAATTTTGGAAATCCTTGTGCACTTGTTGATATCGCTCTCGGCTAGGTTGATATTAACCGCTTTAGCAATTTGACTTACGACGTTCATCAAATTTTCAGTTTTATGTTCCGGTATGCATTGAATTTCTAAATTATTCTTCCGGGAGTATTGTTCAATATTATTTAGGCGATTGCCTAAGTCTTGAACTGTAGCCCGCAGCGTTTCGTTTTCTTTTTTCATGACGTCATATTCTGTTTTCAAGTGGGTAATTGAATCTCTCATATCATTAACTACTGTAAAGATTTCCTTATATATGTCTTCAATTATTTTTGTAATCTTTAACTCCATACTGTTCAGAAGGCCGTCCATCGCTTCTTGAATCATCGCCTTTACATTTTTTAATGTTAGACTATCTGTACTTCTCAACGATGCATCGTTTTTGTTAGGTAGCAGGGTAACATTTGACGGGACGCTATCCTCTTCTACTGCATTGTCGGCAGCCCGTACCAGGGAGATAGAACAGTCAGATTTTGTTGGATTAGAACGACATGCTGAGCAAATCCAAGATTTTTTGTAGTCTGACGAAATGCTTTTGTATTTTTTAGCTGTAGTACTAACACACTCAAAATGATATTTCAAGAAGCAAGTATTACATTTGAGTTGTTCCGGAGTAGACATAACTCGCGCACATCCAGCGCATTTATTAGTGTTTTGTGCCTTGGTATTCATTACAAATAGTATACACCTATTTCCTTATCAATTTTTGTTATTCAGAGGAGACACTGGCACATAACTATCACTTAATTGGCAGTCAAGAAAAATTGGGCATATTAAAATTGCAGGCGCTTCGTTTCAAATATTCCGTGACTTGCATAAATTAGTATTGGATAATTTCAATTGACTTAGATATCGCTCTTACATCAGATTAATCCAAGAATATAATATTCTTCTTTCGTGACCAATACCAATTGCTTCTAGAACTTCTATTCGTTTTTCGGGTACTCAAACAAAATGTTCCATGTGTGGTTTCTTTCGAAATAACATAAAACGTCACGAATCATTAAATTATGATTAGCACCTCAAACACATGCCTTCCCTAAGACACACGCGACACTATAACATTACTTTAGATGAATATAGTTGCACATTTATAATTTTTAAGATTGAGTTTTACGCACGGTTTCACAATACGTGTTTACGCACAGCGCGCACTTGCTATTATATTGATGATATTTTATTTATTGTGTATATTTTTTACTTTAATGGATTTTTTATTAATGTAGTGTGGAGCACGTCCATGTTAATGTACATAGGTATGTCTTGTTTAGGCTTTAAGAGCCAGATGGTCGAACCGACCTGGTTTGGACTGCGATTGTTTACCATCGTGCACTGAGGCAGAGATATCCATCGTGAAAGACTTTAAAATATCATCCGATGAAAATTATGGCACTGTGCAGATCGAGCTTGCTGCGTTACCCAGCGAAAAGTATAGGAGGAATGTTGTTCGTGGATTCCTTGATTTAGTAGGTAAATATTTTTAGTAAAACTTTAATGAGTTCACACGACAGAGGTCTGCAATTTTCTACAGAACCCTGACATAGTAATTCTTAGTTTACAAGTATGCTTGTAGTAACTGTTTCAGTAATTTGAAGTTATGGGTTGATGTTTGTACAAAATATTTCTCAGTATAATTTTGGTTAACAGACTTTTATTTCTACATAATTACTTTGCGACGAGGAAAAATAAGTTATTTGTTGACTCACATGAAAAATTTATGATTTCCTTTTTTCCTGAAATGTCATAAAATGTCAAACGCTATAATAACTATGTTTGCAGTATCCACGGGCGGTACCGGAGGCCTGTTCCTGGGAGCAAGTATCCTTAGCTTTGTTGAATTATTCTACATACTTCTGATTCGTCCATTTTGCGACGTATATAGCAGGCTTGATGATGATCCATGGTATAGAAAATTTGGCAAACGCGGTCTTGAAGACAATCAATACAAACAGAATAGAAATAGAAAAATAGGTGTTCAAAATATTAGGAAAAGAATTGTACCCAATTATAAAACGATATTTAATTAAATGAAAAAAAAGATGATTTTTTTCGATTTTACTTTGGATTACTCTATTCATAAAGTTTTTTACAGAACACCAGGGTATATTGATGCAATGTCATCAATAAAGGCGTCTCCAACAAGATCACATTATGTTGTTATTTTTATTTTTTTGAGTACCTAAGTATATGTATACATAATGTAGCTCAAATATTAGTCTTAACAATTATCAGTACCTACTTTTTTTTTAATTTTTACAGAAACGATCTTGTAAGAGAATAACAAATATTAAACAATAAAATAACATATGTTTTATTTTAAAATTAGCTTCACCAACATAGCTTTTGTATTAAAAGTTCTTAGCAGATATCTATTTATGCTACGTGCGAAGTATATAAAAGTTTAATTGAATAATATTACTTATGTATTCACAGTTCCAATTTATTTTAAACAATACCTTTCAATGATTTCTTCGAAAATGCACAATACTGTATTTTTATATTCTTCATTTTCTTTCATCATTCTGTTGATAAAGGCGCCTTTGTCTTTAGATAAAATTTGGTTAAATTGTTCGGTATCGCAAAAAAATTGTGTCGTCAATTTATCATTCAACCAGAACTGCGGTGTTAGACATGCGCTCACGATTAAGCCCCACAGTCTTTGTTCCCTAGCAGAATTCAGGAAACTTTCTTTACTTAATATTTCGCTTATTTTAATTTCGTGTTTCGACAGATTAGTTTCCAGTTCGCCATAGTAATAATTTAAATACAGTTGCATGTGATCCTCGCGGTCAATAGGGTCTAAATTGCAATAGAGGAGGACCATAACATCTCCCGCGGGCTCTTGATATCTGACTGCTTGAAAGTCGACCAGCAGACAATCGTCTGGTACAAATTTATTTTCAGACACTTGCTTATAATGGAACAGTATATTGTTATTCCATAAATCTCGGTGGCAAATGACTCCACGGCGATGAGATGAATAGTCACATAACTTTAAAGCCGATTGCCAGACATCCTTCCACCTGTTCTCTATACTACCCATCAATTCATCGTCTCTACCATATTTAGAAAACATTTTGATTGCTCCTAAAGCTCCCGTCATGCATTGTAAGAACCATTGGTCGGTGATTTTGTAACCTCCTCGATTAAAATGGCTTCCGAACTCCTCGTTTATGGAGTATTTTCTCTTTAGTATGTCACTTTTTCTTTCTTCAAATATAATTGAAGATGCGTGGAATCTTGCTATCGTGCGTAAAGCTTGAAACGTGTGAGCCTTATCGAATCTTTCTAATTTATTTCTTGTTTTATAATTAATTGCATTTAAATCTTCGAATACCAATGCTTCGTCAAGGACAGCAGTCAATGAAGCGCTCCAGGATTTTAAGTCTAGAAATAATAATTTAATTCAAATAATTTTTTGTAGTAAATAGATATTGATGTAAAAGTAGGAATGCTTACCCGGAAAATCGAGGTGCTTTTTAATAACAGTATAAAAGAATAATTCTTTATCAAATAAATTCATTTCTTTCACCATATTCGCTTTAGCTGGATTTGATATTGACATTGCTTTTATAAAGAAACTACGTAATTTTCTATCTCTATTAACAACGAGGTACACTTTCAGTTTCCAATAATCCGAAAGAAATCCCAACAAGTCACTTGCTTTTAAAACGGTGAATTTTTCTATAACAACATCCTCATTGTTATAACACTCTTTTATTATCGCTTGAACATCTTCTTCCGATAAATATTGACTTGAGCATATCGAGCCTTTGCCTAAAGTTGAATTATGCATTTGTCTTTTTTTATAATTTTTACAGGAATGTTATTTTTATGTATATACAGGCTATTAACGCTTTTTGCTCTAAATGAGCACCCTACATCACTATCAATGTCTAAATACAGTAAATATCTGTTTACTGTAACATAATGTAAAATAGTACGAAAGATATTAATTTATATTTGTTCTGTATTGTTTGCCGCCATCTATATTGCTCTTTATATGATAAACTAATTTTAATAATTAAAGCATTTACAGTGCAGATAGCTTCATAAATAGAATAAACATTTTATTTGATAACAATGCTCGCTCCTCATCATGATATTTTCTAATAAATATTTGTTTTGAGAGCATGTGATTCAACGCGTCTCTTAATCGTTCGTGAAGCAAAGTTAAAAAAAATGTAGACACGATAATTTTACAAAAGTTTTTTTTTAATTTTAAATGACTTGATAGTTACAAAATGTGTAATTAAATTAAATTAAGTTTTAACGCAAGGAACTTTTTTTCAATTTGGCATTAGTCATAATTTTATTGTTTACTAGCTGTGCCCGCGACTTCGTCCGCGTGGAATTTAAAATAAAAAAAATCTAAAATAAAAGTTGACTAAGTTACTCCTTATTACATCAGCTATCTATCAATGAAAGTCCCGTCCAAAACGGTCCAGCCGTTACAGAGATTAGCCGGAACAGACAGACAGATAAAAATTGTAAAAAATGTTATTTTGGTATATGTACCGTGTATACATCCATATGCATTTAGTAAAAAGCGGTTATTTATCTGTATAGATGTATGATTATCAAGTACTTATAAAGAAATCTTATTTTTATGTGCAGTGGGAAATCGCTGTCATTCGCATCTTAAATTAAATATTTCTGTTACTGTGTAGTAGATAAAGGGTTTCCTTTATGTACCTACTCCCAATTAGGAAAATTTATGAAAAGAAAATAATAGTTTTCTCGATGCGTGCGAACACAAAAATGGAATGAACAAATGTAGTCGATTTAATTCAAAATTTTATATAGAAGATATTACATAATTTCCTTACACAAAGAAAATATGTATTCCTTTGAACATAAAAAATAATAATTCATAAACACATCAAGTATATAGTAATAGCAACTACCTCGTGCCTTTACTAATTTCAAGTTGATATGAACATGTATCTATCAGATATTTCATCGAACAGTTCGATTACTCGACTGTGGTAACAATCGTCCACTCTCGCTAAGCTTATGAACTCTTCGCTTCTGGACACGACATTCACTTTCTCGCATTTTTCCCGGTTTTCAAAAGTCTCTTTTCTCATTTCGTCGGTCATGGCAATGATAGGAACTATTAGTGCGGCCTGTGTTATTCCGAAAACGATGCTTTGCTGATACGCTTTTATAATAGTCTGTTTGTCAGCGATATCTGTTACATTAATTCCTTCACAGTTTAACTCATTCGTTAGGAATGAATAGTATAAATCGATTAACTCGTCTGTCTTAGAGTCCCGCAAGCTCCTCGTAGTGTTAAAATAAATGAATGACGATAAATCGAGCATTGGAGAGCAGTACAAGACAGTTTGAAAATCGACGATTAAAGAATGGCACTGTCCATTTTCTAGTTTTTTAAAAAATATGTTATTTGACCAAAGATCACGATGGACGACAACATTTCGATATTCAGAACTTGGTCTCATAAGCTTTGCTGCACAATCAAATAGCATAGGTATAACAACTTCCACATATTTCATAAAATCCGTCTGCATTTTGTATTTTGAATAAACTTTGAGGAAATCTATAACCGCTTTCTCTCCGGTGTCTCGCCAGGCTTGCCCCTGATGTGGTTCAACAAGATAATCACTGTACTCTTCCCAAATTCTGTATGTTCGCTTCAGTTCTCTTGATTTTCGCTCCTCATATATAAAGGACTGTGCGTGAAATTTTGCCATGGTTCTTACGACCGCACATAGTCCTTCATATGTCATAGTTTCACGATGGTTAGGCATTGCATAACCAACTTGCGTAACATCTTCTAACACGAATAAATCTTCTCGAATAAACAAAAGTTTCGGACGCCATTTATTTAAATCTGTAATAAGAAAAATTAAAAATGCTTAAAAAACTTGTACTTATTTATTAAAAAATTTAAATGAAAAGTTTAATAAAAGAATAATATTAGGAGTGGCTTGATCCCTACCTTCACCATCATGAAAGTTTTTGAACAATTTGCTCAACATTATGTATTCTTTTTGAAAGAATTTCAATTCCTTGACATATTTGGCTTTCCATGCGTTGTCTCTCGGCAGGCATTTTACGAATAGTTTTATTTCTGTTTCAATCCCTTTTGAATTTATAGTAATGTTAAGTCTTAGATGGTCTCCAAGATATCCTAGTAATTTATCTGAATAATCCTCAACGGACCATTTAACAATATTTGACTGCCCATAATTTCTTATTATAGATTGTACTTCATCTAGATTAAAAAGATCCATATTTTGAACGTTCTTCACAGGGTTATTTTACTAAGTGAAAATTAAGATACTACGAATCGCACGATATGATTTGAATTGTCAAAGTAAATATTGTGATAGTGATTATCTTTCAACAGTTCAGTGTACATTTATGATATTTGCAAAACCGTTACATATAAGACTCGGTAATATTAATAACCTAGAATAACCACGTTTAATAAAATTAACGTACGTACAAGGAACTTTTAATTTAGTTAAGATTAGAAAATTTATTTTGTTTGATATTGTTACGTGTTAGGGTTCGAAGGATTTGGAGAGAAAGACCTGCTGATTCTTTTGAAGACATTAAAACTTGTAGAAAAAGTATGAAAAGATAGTCGCCGCTGTGGGAATCGAACCCACGTCTTCCTCATTCGCGGCCTGACGCTTTAGCCACTAAGCTAAACGGCTGATTGCCACACCGAAGAAAATCTTAACGTTTTTTATCTACATTGTTTTTAGCATTTGATGCAATGCTTGGCGCATCTATTATTATATCCTTTCCAGCATACAAAAAGTTAAAGTTTTTTTATAGTGCGTCACCCCGTTTCTTCCATGTGATGATGTGCCCGAAGGTCGTCATCTCTTTCTTGAGCCTCCCTCATAGCATCATTCTCCCAGAGACTCAAAGGGCTTGTTTTCGTTAGCTTTAATATTACTTCATTAGATTCCTTCTTAACACAATGTTTGCAGTCTTCCGACCACGGCCCTCTTGAGAGTGCGTCGGCATTCCCATGCGTCTTTCCGCTGCGGTGTACCGTCTTGAAGTCATACTCCTGAAGCTGTTCAATCCACCGAGCTACTTGACCTTCTGGGTTCTTGAATTTGAATTTCAGTTCGCAGTAAAATCTGTCTGCCGATAAGATATTTGTTGAAATGTTGTAGCGTCTTAACAATATCCAAGAGTTCTCTTCTTGGCACACAGTAGTTTCTCTCTGGTTTGGATAAAGATTTGCTGAAATATGCAATAACAACTTTTCTATCACCCTGTTTTTGAGATAACACCCCTCCAATGGCCGTGTTGCTTACATCCGTGTCGGCTATAAACCGACCTTCAGTTTGTGGATACCCCAGGATTGGTGTTTCACACAGATGTTTCTTCAGTTTCTGAAAAGAATCTTGACAAGTCCCATCCCAACTAAATTGTCGTTTATCTCCTGTTAGCCGATGTAATGGCTTGGCTATCTCTGAGAATCCCTTAAAAAAACGCCTGTAGTATGAGCATAGGCCGAGGAATGCCCGCACTTCGGTTTTGTCCTTAGGGGTAGGCCATTTTTGAACTGCTTCCAGTTTCTTCGGGTCTGTCTGGATTCCATCACTGGAGATAACATGGCCGAGATAAATGACCTTACTCCTGAATAAACGACACTTTTTCTGGTTCAACTTTAATTTGGCTTCCTCTATTTTGGCGAAAACTCGCTCCAAGTTTCGCAAATGGTCCTCGAAGTCACAGCCGACAATGATGACGTCATCTAAGTAGACTAAGCAAGCCTCTCCAACTAAGCCTGCCAATACACACTCCATGAGTCGCTCAAATGTGGCAGGTGCGTTGCACAGTCCGAAGGGCATGACGTTAAATTGCCGTAAGCCTTTACCGGTCGAGAAAGCTGTCTTCGCCTTGTCTTTTGGATGAATTTCCACCAGTATCCAGATTTCAGGTCTAGGGTCGAGAACCATTTCATGCTACTCAAGGTATCCAAAGTGGTCGTCGATTCGTGGTAACGGGTCACGGTCCTTCTTAGTGACATCACTGAGACGCCTATAGTCCACACAAAATCTCATGCTACCAATCTTTATTTTTTACTAATACAACAGATGAGCACCACGGACTTGCAGACGGTTCAATAATCTTATTCCTTCTCATGTCCTCCAAAAAGCCTTCAACTTCTTTTTCTTTGCAATTGGTATCCGTCTTGCTCGGTGATGAATTGGTCTCTTGCCTCCGGTATCTATCCTGTGCTGAACTATGGACCTTCTTCCAAGGTCCCCTTCTTGACCGGAGAAGATATTCGCGTAGCGCTGTAAAAACTTATTAGTTTTCATGCCCTGCGAATAAGTCAGATTACTCTTGCAATCATAGAGTAGCAATAACCCGTTAGTTCTTGCTGTTTGCTGAGTCTGCGCCTGTCATCGAACTCCACTTTTTCATCCAGACAACTTCCTCGCACTTTCCAATGACGTCACCTTTGTCCAAGCAGATCTCGTGATCACCAAGATTCAAAACCTTGATCACAGCGTTACTGCTTCCGCTAACAAGGGTTCTCGCCGTCATCAGTTTTTGCGCCGATGTCTTGGTAGGTGTGTCTTCGATCGACACGCATCTGTTTGACTTTTGCTTTCCAGCTGGCGGCAGTTTCACCAGCACCCGAGCTCCCGCTCGTCCAGGTATGACTTTCTTTACACATGCGACTTTCTCGCAGGCGCCTCCAAGAATGAAGATTTTTTCTTCACCACACTTGAAAACTTCGTCAGCGACATTAATTCTGCAGTTGTGTTTCTTCATGAAATCATAACCCAAGATGCAATCATCAATAATCTCAGCCATGATAACTTTATGAGATTATAAGGACCCCCCTACATTCATCGTAACTGACATTTCTCCCAGGACGGGTATTGGCTGACCGGAAGCAGTAAGAAGCCGACAGTTAATTCTCCTCTTGTGTCCCCTTGCAGCTTTTATCAGATTTGGATTCACTATTGTTCTAGAGGCTCCTGTGTCTAGAGTCATTTTGCAATCCGTCCCGTCAATAGTCCCCTGAATCGCAAGACTATTCCCGCTGCATGCCTGGGAGATAACAGTTAACGGGGCTTCCTCCGCGTCAGCCAGTACTGGCCCCTTAGCTTAGCTTTTATTCGTTTCCCTGATCCCGGGCAGAGGACGAAGCCTCTCGCTTCTTCAGCTCCTCTATTTGTTCCTCGATCCTTTTCATCCTTGCCATCTGGGTCTCCTTCTGCGGGCAGTTGAGCTGAAGTTGGCCCCTCTCGCCGCACTTGTAGCACATGGGTCGAGAACTTCTCTTCGTAGGAGCCTTAACCTTCTTGACTTCCTGAGAGACTTCGCGGATCTTATGGGTCTGGCGTATGTCATAGCGAACAGCCTCGACCTCCAAAGCGTGCGCCAATGCCTCCTTTAGCGAGGTATGGTGACGAAGCCTCACTGCAGCTCTGACCTCCAGGTCTTTGATTCCGTCCACAAATGCTTGAAAAATATTCGTGTCTACCATCCTGGTGTCGGCTCCTGGGTGTGCCTTCCTGACCAGTTTTTTGACCTTCAAAATATGGCGTAAGAAATTCATGTGACTACACTGTTTTGACAAGACTTATGATTTTACAGAAACTGTTTTATTTGTAAAAATTTCCCTTCGGATATTATGGGGAGTAGTTAAACGAAAAGAGCCCCAATCAAATTTCTATTTTTATGTTGACTTTAGCATGCAACCTCCTTATGAGTGTTTTTATTTAATTGTTTTCTTTTAAATAATGATATTGGTGGTCGTACATTTTCCCGGAGTTAACCAGTCTGTTGGATTGTTTATTGAATGTATTTGTTTTATTTGAGTCAGTGATTTATTCTTATTTGTTGAATTTACTGAAAGTTGTTACAAATAAGATACATACGTATTGAATTATACATATATAACAAGGTTCATAATGATATGGATTATAGAAAAAGACTTTCCAAAGTTGAATAAGAACAGTACTGGGATATGATTATGCTTACTAGTATAGAATATTATAGAATAGCACAAAGTACGCGCTTAAAGGTTAGGCCACGCTGGTCTTCTTGTATACATGTTAAGGTGTACTTAAAGAGAACAAAACGTCTGTAGTATTACGAAAAGGACGCTTTGCTATTATAGTTTTATAACAGTCTGGTTATCGGTCATAGACAGAACACAAGTCATTATGAAGTCCCAAAAGGTGCATGATCCGAGATCGTCAGTGGTACGACGGATGCGCGCCAGAGACTGGCGACGGTGACCGTTTTGAGTTAACAGAGGGCTTTGTCCATGTAAAACGGTATTAAAATTTGAAAATTTAAAAAAATAAATACGTGGTGGCTAATTTTTTTCTTTTTATGTGAGAAGGCTAGCGAGCGGGGCGGTTCACCTGGTGTTAAGTGATAGCCGCAGCCTATAGACATTTGTAACACCTGTTGGATTCTAGACGCGTTGACACGTGATAATAAAGTGGACCTAGTTACCTCACTCATCAGGAAACGCAGAACGCAGGAACGGAGGAAACGCAGAAGTTTAACGCTTCTGACATCACGCCAGTTTTTTGTGAGGTCGTCTTACTACACAGAACAGACCTGGCCATTCGTGCAACAGTGAAGACAGCCACAGTCTTCTACTCCAGAGGCGGCAATCTTGGCAAACAGTACTTTAAATCTTAACCTTGTCTATGTCTAGGGCGACCATAGGATCAAATCCATCACTGCTTCGATCGATAACAATTCCTAAAGAATGGCAGCTTTGACATTTATCGAGCCGATGCCATCTCGTGGCGGCCCCCCAGGACGGACGTAATGATGTAGCTAGGATTCTTCGTTCGGTGCTTGCTCCGAAATACGTCCTATCGGACGAAATATTGCCCGATTATTGAAGCCGTGCTTAATAAAGACCGCAACAATTCTATTGGGCCTGTCACGGACGGGTTGATTGAGACAAACATGACATACCGCTGATGCACCAGTCCCAGTTAAGAGTAGTTTGGTCGAAAATACCATATGATCAAAGCCTCGTGAAAGCCGGAACAGAAAACAACATATAGCAGGACCTGGTGCAAAACCTATTAGACGTGTTAACCTGAATTTGCTTTTCATACAAGGGCTATGTAACGGTCTATAATTATTAATTTGTGCTGTTTATTCTTCTTTACATAATTATAAGTACCACGTTATCAAATTTCCACTCGTCGAAGACATCTGTTATCTTGGCTTTATTATAAATTCTCAATGAAACTGTAACCCGATGTTTCGCAAAATTGCGTTATCACAAATTGGACTTTCTACCACTAACTTCTTCATTATCATAAAACATTTTAAAACAGGTTTACCATACCCTCATAGGATATGAAACTCTTACAAAATAGTCTGCATAATATTAATGTGTCAAGATCCTTAAGCCAAAGGAATCGGCTCCGTCTACGTATTGGATATTTAAGTATTTTTTAACCCAAAAGTACAAATGCATTCCATGCGTTCTGCCAGCATTAAACGTGTTACTACAAATCTTAGTCTGAAAGATTGTATTAGTTCTACTTCTGACGAACGAGCTACGGCTATATATTTACGTCGACTAATTCATTTGATTTAATTTATTCTTTCCTTAACTATTCATCTTTTCAATCAATACTTCAAGATTAGTAGATACAAAAAATAATTGATAAATACGCTATAATTATTTATAAATGATTATATAATTATTTATCATTGTGCTCTATAATTATACTCTAAAAAATATAAAGTACCTAAATATAATTTTTGGAAAGGCAAAATAAAATGTCAAGTGCGTAATTTAGAGAATTTTTATGCAAACATTGATGCTGTTGTTTGTAAATCGAGGAAAGGTTCTTTTAGTATTTTCTTTAGTCGCTTTTCTTTTACTTCCTCGTAGTTCGGTGTCCATAGTTCAGAAATTTGGGGCGCGGGAGAATTGTCCGTCTTCGTTATAACGTCATCTTCACCGTCGCTCGACTGACTTTCAATCTCGTGTTTGTCGTAGTCTCTTTCGTCATCAACGTGTTCTGTTTGCCTCTGACCCGAAATGTGTTCCAGAATGGGGGTGCATAGAAGACTCATCGGAGGCATCATGTGTGGTGCGGCAGATAGAAACTGAAAGGCGAAATATTTATCATTACAACTCGATTGACGCAGTTGTTAAACTATAAGTTTCTAATTTTTCGGATATACGCGGAATTTCGATATATAACATGCTTCTTAAATACAATCGTTACATGTTTGTCAAAACAATATATTTATTATGTATGCTAAGTAAAAGATTCAATACGGTTGTAATTTAAGATATTTGCTGATTGCGTTAAATATTTTCATTTGTTTTCGTGGATTTAATATCAGAGTTAAGACCAAGGTTAAAATTATATTCATAATCTTCTGAGCTTTGAAACATTTTAAAATTTAAGTAAAAATTCTTGGTAAAACAACCGTATGAATTTCATCGAAATTCGACATGTATTCGTGTGACCACAAATAATTTTTCGGATCTGGGTGTTTGTCTACGTGAAATGTATGTATCTATCTATATCTAAAACGTTGTTACAACACAGGATATTGTTAACCTACTGTAAGGGCAACGAAGGGAAGACCACAATAGATGTCAGTGGCGTGCACAGGGATTTCAGACAAGGCATAAACTAAAAAACTTATCAATGATTACAGGATTGGCAATGCAATAAACACGAAAAACCAAGGGTTAAAGTAAAATCATCATCAACAAGTAAAATCTGTAAATAATAAATTTAATGTGACTCGTCTCTGTGTGTGTTTTGGGGCATGTTTGTATGGGATGACGGGCTAAGCTTTTTTGTTTGTATTGACTGCACACGCCAGATAGATCTACGTCGCAGTGGTCGTCGGAACTCACTACCCAACCTCTAACAAGTCTATTTTTTTACGAACGAAAAACCAAACCGACTATCAAATATCGCGCATTGTATCCATTTTATAATTGATTTTCACGAGTTCCCTAAGTATCTCCGGAGCCCAATGAAATTAATATGGGACCACACGGGAAGCACCAGCTTTCGAATAAAAAAACAATCATCAACATCAGTTTACACAGTCGAAAGTTATGAGGTAACAAACATTAAAAAAAAATACAGTCGAATTGAGAACCTCCTCCTTTTTCGAAGTCGGTACAAAGCAAATAGATATACCTGCGCAAAGTAAAGCACACGAAACGCAAATAGATATACCTGCGCGAGGACGTCACCGCCGCGATAGAAGAGGTCGGGGTCCAAAGAGGTGGGGCGAGCGGCGCGCACTTCGGACACGATCTGCTCGGCGAGCAGCGCGCCGAACTTCGTGCTCGGCGCACGGCCCGAGACCGCCTCCAGCCTGCCCTGCTCCGCCTGGGCGGGCTCCAAGCAGAAGATCTCCTGTGGAAAGGTTGTCACGTGTACCGATAGTGACCGGGGAACAACTGTAGCGGTATAACGTGTACCGATAGTGACTGGCAAATAACTAAATCCGCATCACGTTTCCCGATAGTCACTGGCAAACAACTGTAGCGGTATAACGTGTAGTGACCAGGGAACAACTATAGCGGTATAACGTGTACCGATAGTAACCGGCAAACAACTAAAGCCGCATCACGTATACCGATAGTAACCGGCAAACAACTAAAGCCGCATCACGTGTACCGATAGTGACTGGCAAACAATTAGACCGGTATCACGTGTACCGATAGTGACTGGCAAATAAATAAATCCGCATCACGTTTACCGATAGTCACTGGCAAACAACTGTAGCGGTATAACGTGTACCGATAGTAACCGGCAAACAACTAAAGCCGCATCACGTGTACCGATAGTGACCGGCAACTAGAGCGTCATAATGGTGGAAAGTTTGCGCATGTCTCCCTATCGTGACTTCAATGGCGTTGCTCAATAACCCCTGAAGGCCGCCTGCGATGCTACGTACTTGTACGTTGAGACTAACACCTTTTTAGGTAAAGCATAAAACTTATTTGACTTATACCGGATAGTTCGTTGATTAGTTTGGTTATGTGCAAAACTTCATTACTTAAGACAAGTTTTAAAGCAGAACTTCTCCATTCATATGCATAATAGTAACGTTATAATCGATCGAGAACTTAAAAATTTCAAATTATTTGCTAGCTAAGACATAGCCTTAAACAAACAGGAATATAACATATAAACAGGAATATAACATATAATCAGAAATATTTTAAGTAGAACGCAGTTTACTCTATGAAATTAATAATAAAGAAATGTTGATTAATATATTGAACATTAACTTTTTTGAAAATGAATAGTTTGTAGCGGTAGAAGACAACGCATCTGGCTGTTCACCTAATGTTAAGTCATTACCGCCGTCTACGGGCATTTACAAAACCCTAATAAAAGTGGGCTCCAGTTACCTCACTCACCAAATGAAACGGTAAGTATAATACTTCCAGTTCACGCCAGTCTTCTATGGGGATGTGGTACTTCCCCAGAAAGGCCTCCTGCCCATCCGTGCAATAGCAGTAGCTCCTGCGTGAAAATATCACGATTAAGTGTTACATAAAACGATAACTTATTTCAACTTACAGAGTCGTTCCTCATGACGTAAAGTCGAATAGCATCCTTCGAGGAAGCTACAAAGGTGCACTGCTTAAAAATTCCAGTGCGGGGATCCAAAACGCATTTGTGCACCATCAATGGCGTGGAACTGTGAGGGGTGAAGATATATACTGCAATGAAAAGTTACAATAATGTGTTTGATGAATTAGGATTGGTCAGTCATATAATAGGCTGGGTTATTTAAAAATAGTTCTTGAATCCGTGTTTTTTTTTTTAATGAGAATTCGGCAAGCGAGCCGGCGGTTCACCTGATGTTAATTGATAACCCCCGCCCTTGGTTTGTAGCCTCGGTAAAAGGGTTGCAGTTGCGTTGCAACCTTTTAATAATGTGGGCCCCGGCTACCTCACCCACCGGTCGAAACGCTAAGTGTAACACTTCAACTTCACTCTGGTCTTCTGTGAGGGCGAGGTACTTTCATGGACGGACCTGCCCATTCGTGCAACAGCGAAGATTGTTGCGTGTTTACTACATTTTATAAAACATTTTTAAGTTTCTTTAGAAAAACTTGGCTCTAGTCAACGAGTCTAGTTCTTCTAATAAAAATGTCGCAGTTGTTCTACGTTTGCTGTCGTTGGTCTTTTCGTCCCTAACACAGGGCAATACATATACGACAATAAATGGAAATAGTTTTAAACTTTACTTAGGCTTCTCTTTATTAAATGCAAGGCATGTATCATAGAGTATAAACATTTATGTTTATCAAACAAACACCACTTCAGATGTTAAATGCAAATATTTGATTGAATAAAAATCTTTTAAAAGAAGCAAAATAGCAATCAAGATATGTAGTCATATATATTTTTGAATCGATACAATGCACCGTCATTGTCGTAATTTCGGTCAAATGATGAAATAAATTAATTTGCCCTTACCATCGTTGTTGTCGGTCACGACGGCCATTTTGTTTGTGGACGGATCAGCGGCGAGACACGTAGGGTTTAGTTGAACATACCATTTGATAGTTAAAGATAACAAACTCCAAACAGCCAGGCATTTTTCCGTCGTGCATACAAGCTGAAAATAAAATTTGTCGCTTTAATGATTGCCACACATAATTATGTTGACACTATAATACTTTTTATAATCGCTACAAAAATCATTATAGGTTGTTAAAAATTATTAAATTATTTAATTACGCACGTCTGAAGTTAACCATGATTGGGTTTTGGACGAATTTCAGAGTCTGAAGTTCGTTCAAATCATGGCACAGTACAGTTTACTAGATATTAAGTTAGTTTTTATTATTTATATTATAACATTACTTAATTTCCACAAGCAACTTGTGAAGCTTATTTCGCTCAGGCGAGTAAGTTTTGCTCAGCCTAACCATAAAAATATTTCTGTGAGATTTTATTCTCATAAATACTTAAGGTATCGTCAATTTTAATATAATTATTTAATGCAAGAGCCGTGATAGCTCAGTGTCCAGGCGCACTAGAAGAAAGAAACACGTAAGAAGTGGTTACGAGTCATTTACCAATTACAGATTTTTTGTTATTATTACAGGGATTTCATACAGTTCGAATGGCAACTCACGTAATGCGCGGCGTCGTTGGTGCCGAATTGTACTTGTAAGCCCTTCGGCCGGAGTGACGGATGCGACAGGGCGCTCCTCAAGCTGCTCAGGTGCGTGTCCCACAGGGTCAGTTTGCAGCCGAACCAGGCGGCGATCAGGGATCCGTCCTGGGATATCGCCACGCCGCCCATATCCATCTCCTCGTCGCTGTTCATGCCCCGATCGAGGGCTTGGCCGTCGACGAGGGCGCCCTTGTGCATGTTGAAAATCTTCGTCACCACGTCGTCGCGGCTCGCCCGCTTCAGATAGGGCATGCTCTCCACCCGGTCGCCGGCAGGCCTGTCGCCGACCTTGAAATCGTTGAGGATCCCGTGCGACAGCTGGTGGGCGCTGCCGGACGAGTAGTAGCAGGCGGTCATGCAGCTCCACGTGACCCTCTTCCGGTGCTGCAGCACGGTGTTCTCCCGCCGCCATATGCGGATCTTCTGGTCCCTGCCAGCCGACACGCAGAACTCGCCCCTGAAGTTGGCCGCGAGGGAGACCACGCTGCAGCATGCTGTTCTTCTAATAAAATTGCCGCAGTTGTTCTAAGTTTTCTGTCGTTGGTCTTTTCGTCCGAATATGACACGAATGTCTTCGGCGTGAGCAAATAGCAATTTCATTGAGCAATCGCGATTAACATTTATATACAGGTTTCATGGCGAGCTACTTAAGAGGAATCCAGAAGATTTTTTTTATGTTGCGGGTTCGATCGAGAGGAGATGGAGATAGTGTTTTTCTAGTAGTAGATGTTAATGTATGTTTATCAACAAGTAGCAAGAACTTTTTCGTTACGTTTATAAGGAGTTTTGAGATAAATTTTCCATGTCTTCGTTATTTCCTACCAGTTTATTATTTCATTGTTCCATCCTTATCAAAAATCGAAATTTAGGTTAATTAAACAACTGGCATATCTTTATCAACATTAACTCACGATGATGTGCATTTAATCCCATCAACTGCAAAAATATTGGGTTATTTGGCAGTCTTGGTTTTGGTATATCTATAACATATGTTTCTTTACGAAAGAAAAATATACGCAAAAGCTTTGCTTAGTTCGGTACTAGATAATTTTAGTTAAAGCCATATAAAAGAACTGAACTTTATAAATAAGTAACATTACTCTTATGATATACACTCAATAGAATCAATAAAGCTTATTAATTATATTAATTATTATATAGTCATGTCTGGATTTACTTACATTGTAAAGCACTTTATCAGATGCGGTAGAGTACAGCTGTAGGTGGCCACTCCTCCCTCCCATCAGGAGTGCGTCGAGGGGTCGATGGTAAACAAGTGCGGCGTTAATCGCCCTCGCTACAGGTGACAGCCCACCGCACTCCAGTAGGGTTGACACTACAGGTGACAGCCCACCGCACTCCAGTAGGGTTGACACTACCCGCAGCTGAGCATTTGCCACTACCACTGCTGCGAATGCCATAGAAGTCTTGAGAGATGATGGCAACCTAAAGCTACTTTAGATTTTTGGGCTTCTGCACATAGCATAAATAGTTATACTTAACAACAAATTTTGGCTGGGCCATGGTGCTAGGCTAGGTGTCACCCGCCCAAATGTATCTGTTATGGCAACAGCATTGTCTTTATGGTGAGCAGCTACAGATAGTATTCTGAACTTATTGTGATTCATGATTCTGTAAGCAATTAATGGTGCACTGTTTAACATTCGCAACAGAAATACTTGGTACAGACATTGTTACTTATCTTTTGATCTGTTTTGTCCTAGACTTCTCAATTAGGAAAGTTCAGATTTAAATGACAAAAATGTTGAAAACTGTTCTTATTCCTTTGCTAGGGCCATGCTGCAGCAGCTTTTGCTGTTGCATGAATGAGCAAGCTGACAGTATCACAAGAGACAAATGGGAAATAGGTTGGCAATAAATTGCATTCCCACAGGTTTTAGGGATGTCCAATGTCAGCAGTTATCACTTACATAAGGCATATACTTGTTTGCTGCCAATTCCCGAATGACAAAACAATAATAATAATAATTTTAACATTTTAAAACTTTTTGTAAAATCACAATTGTTTTGCGGGATAAATTCAACAATCATGGTCATTTAATTACAACATTGGTTTACATATAAATAAATGTTTCTGGCTCATAACAATTAATAGATAATAGTCCCGTACTAAGTGAATTATAATTTGCTGAAGTTTAAATCAATTAATTAAATGCAGTAATTTTCACTTATAACTTAAGGATGCTGTAATAAACTTTACTCTTTGCAATTTATGTGATGTCGGTGTTTTATAATTTTTGAACTTTTTAAAATTCATTTAGGTAAATTAATCTCACCATTGGTATTTATAAAGATTCTATTACTCACTCGGTTCTTAAATGTGGCTGATTTAAATTCTGTATGAAAAGTACTTTGGTACCATTTGTTATTGCTGCAAATCTATCGCCATTGCACCAACCAAGAGCAACTCTTATTATGTCAAAATATAAAGGTTTAGTCTGTCTATACTCATAAAGTAAACCACCTGATTTCACAGAGTAGGTTGCAAGGAAAACATGTTTGCTTGAAGGGTCAACTGCAGTTATAAAACATTCATCACTGTCTAGTAAGTCAAACGTCAATATTTTTAATTCATTAGGGATTTGGAGAGTCTGAAACAGAAATTCAGTATTAATGAAAAAAAAAAAAAATAATGCACACTGAAGCATTTGCCATTGTAACATAAAGTAAAAATTCCGAACAGTATGTCTCGTTTTTCAAGCTAGAAAAAAAATTTTATCGATAGAGAAATGTTAATAATTAAATATTACATACTTGAAATCAAGGCAAACACTTACTTTTAATAAAAAAAAACTATTTAAAACTTGTTATTTTCACTAATTAAATCCGCCATTTTGTGTTTGACAACATGTACAAATTTAAGAATTCACACACTTTTCCAAATTATAACCTTCGCATTATTAAAAAAGAGTCTTTAAAAATGCTAAAAGTACTGTTACACTAAAGTTTTCTGGGTGGTCATAAAAAAAAAACCCAACATCGAAGGCTAAGGCGGGAGCTAAGCTCCTGCCTTAACCTTCTAACCTAACCTATCCGAGTCGGATCACTCTGTGTCGAATCTGTGACTCATTTTGAACCTAATATTCGAGATATTAAGTGTACCATAAGTCACAAATTTTAAATATTAGAAATTGTTAATAATACATGTTCATGAAGTAGAAACTTGTGTTTTTGTGATATATCTGTGTATTTGAGTCTTCTTACAACGTAAAAAGTGAAAACGTAAGTTTTTAACTTAAAATAATGAATAATGGACGCACAGTAATGACGGATTTCAGTTGTATGAAATTTAAAAACTTTGTTAATTTTTTCCTCATAATCTAGTGGTTTTCATTGATTATAACTTATATAATATTTAATTATTAACATTTCTCTATCGATTAAAATTTTTTTCTAGCTTGAAAAACATAATTAACATAATTATACATTACATAAATTTTGAATAAGTTTTAAAAAAGTTGATTGATAATAAGGATAATAAGTAAAACTGGAACTCAACTCACAATTTCTCTCAGTACAGCACCTTTTTCCCAAGTCCAAATAGTGACACAGCCTTTGTCAGAACATCCATATAGGTTATAATCTTCATTTTCTAGGAACTGCACAGAAATTAGTTCTTGAATTGAAGTCTCAGTTTCTAGAGTCCGAGTACAGTCGCCAGTTTGGATATTGTATACCCTGACTATGTTTTCTACTATAAGCAGTACATGTCTGAAAAAAAGATATATTAAGTTGAGCAAACTGAGAGAGGATTGGAGGACAGGCTTATTTCATGGTTACATACTCGCCATCTGGAGAAAATATGGGACGACGTTCTATAATACTTCTACCAGCCTTTCTTTTGAAAACATATTTAGTGTCCGAAATATTATCGTTAAAACTTGTTAAAACCATCGTAAATGAAAAATATTTATATGTCACATGCACATTGCCCTAAAGCGATTATGACACATAACCTCAATTGTATACAATACAACACAATACAATCCAAAATAATATTTAAAAAAATACATTCAACATTCAACAAACGTCAATGTCATATTAAAGGTACGGACACTGTTGCCAGATGCAAGGTCAGATTTGTTTTAAAGTCTTTTGAATAAAAAATTACAGTAGTCTGGTACAAAAATACAGTAAATCGAGTTAAATACAGCGACATATTGTTAGAAATCTATATATTTTATAAATAAAAATAAATTTTATCATTTTAGCATTTGGTTCAAAATTAACAGAACTAGATTAACGACCGGTTTCTAAAACACTGATCATCGTAGAAGTCAAATAATTAGCTGTCAAATGGATTTTTAAATGTTATTTGAGCTGCCAAAAGGATTGTTAAAGTCTTTGAATTGATCATTCTGATCATTAAAAAGATCATTCTGTACGCACAGCTAAGTCTGGCATTACGACTGAATTTCTAAGCTAAACTCGCTGGGAGTGCCAAACATAGATTTCAATTTCAATTTGAAGAAGCTCTATCACCACCTCTGTTCCCTGAGAGCAAGTGTTCCTCGAGGATTAGTTCTTTCATCGACTCTTTGCTTCCTAAACAGCATCGATATCTCTAGTACTCCTCAAGTAGTCAAAAAATTTGGATTATTATAAGCTTACAATCTTCATAAAACATGCTAAGTGAATGGTTCTTACTGTAGCAGATCGAAGTCAACTCGGAGAAAAATAAGGGGATTACGTTTAACTATCATTCAAACTACCACCAGAAGAAAAAAGCTAGCGGTTTAATAACTCGGTCAATCCATTCAGTGGCAAAGCAAGGGAAAGAAACTCCCATTAAAACATATTAGCACAGCACCCAAAATGTCAAAGTACGTAAACTTCTGTCGCCCCTCACTCGAGCGTCCGGTAAAATGACACTAAAATGCAAAGTTCATAGTCTATCTATAATGTCTACGTCTACGTCCTATTATGAGATATAAGTGTCTGTTTTGTGTATGTCCACAACACTTGAAGTACTCGAAGAACTCGTACTACTCGAAGAAGCTTGAAGACTCTAAATTGCATCGTGACCTTAAAATTAGCACTCTGTCCATCTTCTTTAAAAAACATTGTTAAAAAATTATGATTTTCGCGAATCGATTAGATGATGAAGTAGCGATGGAGGCCCAATTAACGGACAATTACAGACTATATACTATGTGGCAGAGTATAGTCTATGAGGTTTGTCAATAGTTATTTCTCATCAAGCAAAAAGTCTGTCTGTCTGCTGTCAGCTGTCAGCGCTCGTTTATCATGTTGTGGTTGTGGTTATAAGATTTTTATCAGATATTAACAGATTTTGTTAAAACTTGTTGTGTTTCTTGTGTTATAATTATTATCTCTAGTAAAAGAAATGGCTGCTGATTCAGTTGAAATTGAGCTGCAAGTAAGATTTGTTACTAAACAGGAGCAGTAAGTTTTACTATTTACGCCACCGGTGTGTGCATAATTTCGCATTACACGTGTGTACTAACATAGTAACTATATTCTATATTATTGCAGATATGCCGTATCTGATAGCCCTTATGCTATTCAAAGCAATGTACAGGCCTCGGACCTTAATACCTTAATTAATGCGCTCTTAAAAGAAACAAATTCATCGATCCAGAAAACGGTGGAGTTTGACTTTCTAGTATGTGGTGAATTACTTTGCTCCTCACTAGCAGAACATTTACAAGATAAAGGGGTTTCAACAGAAAACACATTAGAAATTGAATATCTGGAAAGGTTTCCTGCCCCTACGCCTCAGGAATGTTTAATGCATGATGATTGGGTATCTGCAGTACAAACTAATGGAAACTGGTAAATAAAACATTATTCTTAACAGCAACAAAAATTATTGTAACTTACCATATGACATGAAAGTTTCACACACTCACTTTTCCACAATTTGTTTTGCTTCTTACAAATAGTTGATAGTGTATTATGACTAGTTATGTAAAGATCACATGGAAGTGGATGAAAACATGCATTAGACATAGTAATGATACAGAGATTTAACATTGATTATATTGTCAATAAGACTGATGGCATTGGAGATTAAAGAAAATAAATTAAGGAAAACATTTTTGGAAACTAATTTAATACTCCAATAGTTTATTCCGCTAAGTTCTTATCTGTTGCAAATATCAACAACTTAAAGTTATAGTTGTTTTTTCTAAGCTTTAAGTTTAAACTTGAAGATGTATGATGATAAAGCATATTAATTAGCTGCTATATTATGTCCTAGTACCTGATGCACAATAAACAGATATTTTTAACTTGTATTTAATTAATTTACCATGTATATAATGTAGAACTGCATTATCATTAACATCTATTGTAACTTTACATAGATTTATTCTATTTAATTGAAACAAATATGTCCTAAGAATTATCAAGAAATTACTTTATTTTTAATTATTTAAACATTGCGCTTAAGATACATACATAACTTACATTTAAAAGTTTATATACTTAAATTTTATGCATGTATGTATTCATGGATGTATGTAGAAAAACTGTAATTTCAGCATGTGCATTTTTGTTTGGTAATAAAAACTTCAGAAAAAGAACTTCATACAGCAGTAGGAAGTTCATTCTTGTGAGTATGAGACATTATATATTACACTACATTTCCAAGTTAGTTTGAATAACCACAAGAATATTCTTGCAGCCTTCGGAGCTTCAGACACAATTCAAGTCAAATAATTCAGTTCCAGTTCATCATTATTATCATTGCTTTTGAAGAAGTCATTGTTGGCAATGATATTTTGGAAATTTTAAATTGTTTATAGTGCTAATCTTTGCACTTAAGATTGAACATTAAAATATGTAGAAAAAGTGCGAAGATTCGTCGGTGTGGCAATCAGCCGTTTAGCTCAGTGGCTAGAGCGTCAGGCCGCGAATGCCGAAGACGTGGGTTCGATTCCCACAGCGCCGACAATCTTTTCGCACTTTTTCTACATATTTTAATGTTCAATCTTAAGTGCAAAGATTAGCACTATAAACAATTTAAAATTTCTAAAAAAAGCAATGGCGACATCTCTCGTTCGAATTATCGTTGTAAAACGATATTCGAAATTGTTTGTATGCTGGAAAGGAATAACAATAGATGGCGCCAAGCATTGCTTCAAATGCTAAGATAACAATGTAGAAGAATATGTTAAGATTTTCGTCGGTGTGGCAATCAGCCGTTTAGCTCAGTGGCTAGAGCGTCAGGCCGCGAATGCCGAAGACGTGGGTTCGATTCCCACAGCGGCGACAATCTTTTCGCACTTTTTCTACATATTTTAATGATATTTTGCATAAAAATTGTAAACAAGACACGGTGCTTCGTTATAATCGGACGATTTATATTCAAATTAGGTCACTTTCTGCAAATGGTTGTACTATACAATAAAAATAAAAATAAAAATTCATAATAAATAAGAAACAGCACATAACTTAGATTAAGAAGGCATAGATGGCAAATTATTTGCATTACTTATTTAGTATGACTTTTGCATTCTTAACCAATAATGTTAAAAAATTGTTAGTAGGTACATGTTATCTTTATATGTATTAACCTGCAGTTACATTCACTTTTGGGCCTAAATGTTTGGGCCTAATATGCCTAAATGTCTTAACACCTTATGCTTTATGTAAAACGAAATATTTAATCATGTCCTCAATTTACAGGATTCTGACTGGTAGTTATGACAACAGCATTCATATTTGGAACACTAAAGGGCAACATAAACTGGCAATTCCTGGTCATACATCACCTGTCAAAGGTGTTTCCTGGATTTCATTTGATGGTGATCAGGCAGTTTTTGCAAGGTATAATTGAAAAGGATTTAAAACATTTATTGCATGAACCTATTATAATAGATACAATCTTTCTCAACCCAAAATTAAAAGTAATAGAAATTTTCAAAGATGATTTTTGTCGGTACACATTAACTTGCATAATTCTTCATAGAATTTAATGATTCAAACACCACTATAAAGGATATCTACCATATCTATTGACAATTTGTTTAAATGAAGGATAAAGAAATTTACTGAAAACAATTACGCTTACTTAAATAAGATACCATTAATTCTTACACATAATTATGAAACACTTTACTGAGTGATATGGTACTGTGCGAATATTTTGTATTTATCAGATAGTTCTAATGAATGAATGATAGTAGTACTTTCATGTATTTTATGGAAAAAAGAGGGAAAATGGGCAGGAGGCTCACTTGATAGAAAGTGTTCAGTGCCGCCGCCGCGTTGCCGGCCTTGTAGGATAGATTTTTTCTTGTTCGGAAAGACCGCCGGCGGCAGCTAGTTCTACAGAGTGGTTGTGCGAGACAGGAAGCGCCAAAAAATCGCGATGTTCTGGGATTTCTGGTTTTGGCGCGATTTCCGATGGTAAAATTTAACCGCCGGTATCAATCAAAAAAATGCCTCGGAACACTCCGAATGATATATGCGGTAGAAAATGCAGTCATCTAACATCTCTACGTAAAGCCAAAGGATCAAGCTGATTGAAAAGAACTTGATCGTCGATAACCCAAGCCGCCCTACGATGAATGCCGTCAAATTGAAGAAGCTCTTGATGCCTCCCGCCCATAGATGAGGGCAAAAGTCCATGTGGGGCCGAATTTGCGCCTTATTAGAGACTTAGGCGTTGAGCCGACGAGAAGTACCGTCTTGCCTTGCTTAGCACACCAAGCTTCTTTGAGGCCAATTTGGCCTTACCTTCCAATTAACCTCGAAACTGAACGTTGCTTGAAATTTCGACGCCAAGTATTCCGATACTAGCTGTGGCTGCCGCCATTGGTTGGATTTTTCCCAACAATATAAAGAAGAAGCAAGTCCTTCTAATTTTTTTTGTTACATAAGTATGGAATTGTTTACAATACTTCTTCTAGGTGGCAGTGATCCTTGTGACATTCTACCCAAACATATTTAATGTAACACTTATATTTAGGAGAAATACATGCAATTTTTTTATTTTTAGTGGTTCTCATGATCAGTCTGCTATGCTATGGGTGTGGAATGTGACTCGCAACTCTGTTGATTGTATTGTTACTTGCCGAGGCCATGACAAGGGGGTAGAATGCCTTGCTGTAGCCGCAGACACTAGGCGCTTTGCAACTGGAAGTTGGGACAACAACATCTGTTTATGGAGCACTAGTAAGTATTTGTGAATAGACTAGAATAGATAGAATGGCTTGAAGGGTTCTACTACATATTACTAATACAAAATACTTTATTTACGAAATATATATACATAATATTTACTACATGGAATTGAATAATATTTTTTTATGTTCAGGTTTAACAGATGAGGACAATGTTCCAGCAAAGAAAAGGAGCAAACCTGAGCATGGAAATTCGAGGGTAAAATAATTGTAATTTTATTGAATGAAACAATTTTTAACCTTTTTTATAAACTGAAATTGCTTAGTTAGTGAATAGTTTGTATTTGAATTTTGTGTGGAAGGGATTGGGTAGTAAGTCCCATCAACCTAGAACATTATCCGTTTTTGTAAGGATGTTTTACATACATAATTTTCACATGGACAAACAACCAGATCCAAAACAATTAGCTATCTGTGATACCAATGGTTATCTTGTGTGGAAAATGAACCCACAACCCCCCGCGCCGAAGCCAACTGAAGCCAACTATATGGAGTCATCTGTAATTTGAATACTTTACACCATTGTTGGACATGGGATGGTTTTAATTTAAGTTTTTAAGGATAGAATTTGAGAATATGTAGACTAAGTGTAAATATAAGAAATTATTCATTATATTATGTCGTGACCCAGTATTATTTTATTATATTAAAGTAAATTATAAATTCATACAAAGTTTTAAAAATGGTTCTTCAAAACTATGTTTTGATTGAATTTCCATTGTTTTTAGGAGCCCATGACGACATTAAAAGGCCACAGAGAAGCGGTCTCTGCTGTGCAGTGGGTTGATTTTAACACATTATTATCCAGCAGCTGGGATCATTTGTTAAAGCTATGGGACTGCGAACTTGGTGGGATCAAACAAGAGATTGCTGGTGAGTATATGATTCATAAGCGTATTAAGTTTTAATTCTTGTTAATTAGTTGTAATTTTGTTAATTAGTTTTAGAAGAGGAAAGTATGGAGTATAGAACAACAATCTTTATGCTAAAAAGGTACACGGAGAGAGAATGGCGTAGTGGGTAGTGTACCTGCCTCCTGCGCCAGAGCGTGTGGGTTCGATCTCCACTACTGGAAAAATATTGTGTGATGCACATAGTGCTTTTCTAGTTTCATGGGTGTTTATATATGTATAATATGTATTTATTTACAAAAGAATAGTAGTTTAAGTCCGTTTATTCCTTTTCTAGTACCCATAGGAGAAGCTTTGCTTAATTTGGGACTAGACAATGTTGTGTAAAAAATGTGTCCTAAAAATATTTAAAAAAAAAAGAACTGGTGAGAGTCAAATGAAGGAGGTATAACGTCGTAGAAATAGTCACATTAAATATTTCTTGTGAACCTTGTTTACGAACTCATATGCCCCGCAAGTCGCGTTAAATTCAAATTCGTTGGAAAATTGATAATGCGTCAATCTAGGTGTCATCCCTAACATAATTTAATTCTCCTTCTTTTTCTTTCCTCTTTTGGCGGTTTTCAATGAATGAAAACTGTTAATCTTCAAACACTGTTAATTATTATTCAACATAGTTGAACAAGCTAAGTTCATATTATAAACTAACTAAAAAGTAACTCTACATAACATAGCTGTGTGATAGATAATACAATGACTTATTTAATAGCTATTATTTTGGCTCGCGACTCACCTAAAATAAAAGACAAACCCGGTGTGAATAGTTTAATATCTTTTGTTGCAAATATTTTTTTTTTCTAAAAAATAAAAAAAATTTCAGGTAATAAAGCGTTTTTTGATGCTGATTGGTCACTGCTAAATAACAGCATTGTGACGGCCTCCGCCGACAGACACATTAGAGTTTATGATCCAAGATCTACAGGTATTAAAATTGTTAAAAATAAGAATGAATAACACATTTGTTTTCACACATATTGCAATAGTTGTTCGCAATTATTGTTGAAGATAGTATCTACGCATTGATGGTTTTAAGGGAGCCAGTTCAATTCAGGAGCAAGTTTCATTTATATTTATAATTAAATCTTTATAATAAGATGAGAGCAATAAGAAAAAAAAATAATACGAAGCAGTTTACGACTTGCAAAATGTTAGTGTTGACATTATAATATTTTCTATATGTTTATGATTTGACTGGATGGGGTTGGGCAGTAAGTCTAAATGACCACTATGACTAGAAAACCTATTTTACTCTATTTTTGTTGTCTATTCACATACTTTGCTTCCAGAAAGTATTGTGAAGACAACATACACATCGCACACGGGCTGGGTACAGTCGGTACGTTGGTCCAAAACTCGCGACACTCTATTTCTGTCAGCTGGATATGATGGACAAGTGAAACTTTGGGAGACCAGAAGGTTTGTTACGCACCTGGCTTACAATCCAATTAGTGCTTGAGCTTATTGCAATATTAAACTTACCTAGTTGGTCGCATTTTTTTTTAAAAGATAAAAAAAATCTGTAGTGAGTCAGATATTTGAAGTTTGTTCTGTTTTTAGTTAGTATAAATGTTTTATTTGAAATTTAAATTTTTACAGTGCTAATCACTTAAGATGAAACAATATGATACAATTCATAGAAAAAATGGACGAAAAGTTTTTCGCCGCTGCGCGAAAGAAACACACGCCTTCTGGGTGCGAATTTGGAAGCGCATTTCGATTTCGGCAGAGGCGAAAAGCGGCCATTTTCTTTTATACATTTTAATGACTTATTTGTTCTCGATGCTCAGCCCAAGGACCCCGCTCTACGACCTGACTGGCCACGAGGACAAAGTCCTGTGCTGCGATTGGTCGAACCCATCGCTCCTCGTCAGCGGCTCGTGCGACAACACCGTCAGAATATTCAAGGCCAAACATGCAGTGAACCCGTGAATTAACACCGCGATTGACTTATTCAAAATGTCATTTTTTTTTATTGAAATGTGCGAGAAAATTTATGCAAACAATATATATAGTTCGGTCCATTTTTTAATTGCGTAAAATTTCATGTAAGTACATATTGGATACAGCCTTGAAAGGTATTGGAAATAGATGAAGAGTTGTATGAAATTGTCTTATGTTTTATTTTATCCTCATCCCTATCAAGTCTGTCAACAATAAGAATAAATAGTTTTTTAAAACTTTAGTTTTTGTTGAATTTTCACATATTCCTCATTAGTTTTGGAAAAATATATCGCAGTTTTATCCGATATTGATTGTATATTTGGGTTTTGGGTTCTCCTTTCTCGTGAAATGATATGCAAAAGTACAATACAGTACTTTGTCTTTATTGGACAATGTTTTTACTGGTACCTTCAGATGTACCACGAGTGGGCAGCGTCGTCCTGGGAAGTACCTCGGCGTCACAGAAGACTAAAAACTATAATAAATAGTTTCGTCACAGAAGACTAAAACTATTATACTTTCGCGTTTATTTTGGTGAGTGAGGTAACCGGGGAACACTTTAAGGTTGGCAAATATCCGCTACCCATCAAGTCATTCGCCTGCTCGCTTACCAGCATTTGTAATAAAAGAAAATAAATAATGTAGGAGGCATGGTGTTGTATTCTCCTCGGACCTCAAAATTTATTTATGCGTTTTTAAAACCAGTGAAGTGTGGCGTTCTACATAATAAAAAGCCATACATGCTGATATCGCCATTAAAAATGTAGCCACATTTCTGTGCTGATATAACGTTTGAAATTCACGATGACAGAAATTATTTTAAATAAATGAAATCATACACATTCGTTTGGTTTGCTCGTTTTATTTCAATCATTTGCTCTTACAAAATATGTTCAATGCAAAGGAACATGACTCGTCACAATAAAACATGCTTCTTAGTACCATTTTGTTTTTATTTATATATTAGTTTAGTTTCCATTTAGCATAACTATAAATAATGCGGGTCACATAAAATGCTCATAGCACTATATAGAAACTTGCAAACACTTTGTAACAAAATAGATACATAACTTTCCTCTTCGTCTTTTCTCTGCGAGAAATGCTTTTACACTATTATCATAGTTATGCCAAACCTCACACCATAACACAACGAAGCAACATGTCCCTTAAAAATATTCTTTCTTACCAACAATTTCATTTCTTTTTTTTTACATTTTATGAAGTTTTATTTTTTTGCATTTCGTATTCCTAGTCTACCTAACTAAATTTTTAACTATACTATATACTACGATCTAGACTAGTCTGCTGGGTAGAACACCACTCTAAATTAATACACATTGGACAAATACATTCGTATCGACACCTCCGACAGTTTTTTTTTCAAATTAATTTTCTTTCTTTACACTTATTCAACTACATAACAAAAGAGGTGAAAGCAAACTTCTTCAAATGAAACTTATCTCTCAAGAATGTGTTCACTAATTTCCTTAGGTTTTCTTACGTACTAGGGCGGGCGGCACATGCGAGCGGCTTGCCGACTTCAGTCCATTCAAATTAAATTATTTAATAAACTAATAAAGGAATCTACCCTAGAGCCGGCAAGAAGCGAACACGCCCCGCACCGCCACCAAATATATTATTCTAGGGTATCTATCCTATGTATCTTAGCGTCGAAACATTTTTTTTACTATTCTAACCTATCTATGGTTACGTCTAGGCCTTACTTCTAGCCGTCAATTCGTCACTATCCCGAAATCTCCGTCCTCCACTCAAAACGATCCTTGCAATCACTTAAATTACATGACTTAATTTAAAACATTTACTTAACACTTCAATCTTATTCAACGACATGATTTTCATTTTAAATTGTAATTTTGGTATTCAGGAGTTGGTTTGCTCAATGGGTATGCGTTTTGTGCTCTCGTCCTGTTCGTCCGTCGTCTCAGTGCAAAGACATGCCATAGGCCATATCACACATGTCAAGAACGTTGAAGTGAGTTTAACTAGGAACATCTACAATTTTATTCTCGTTTTGGATTTTTACATCGCGTTCGAAAAATGCAACGATTAGACAGCCACATTATCCTTGTTATAAGTTGTTAATACAAAATACTTTTATCATTACCACTACTTTTACGAACACGGGTAAGTTCTCTATTACCTGTAAAAATACTGTGTAAAGCACACGCAGCTACTATATTATATCTGCATTTGTTTATCCAAACGAAGCTGAAGGCACTACCATGAAATTATATTTATTGCTTACAATGGAAGGAAAGCATTAGAAAAATAAATTCTCGCCGTATTATCATTGCTTTTGACGGTGCTATCGCCACTGTTCACGCAACGGGATCGTGCCACACTATCTAAGCTACAAATTGCTTCAAATCATTCACGTCCGTTTGCCCTAATCATTAACAATACTTGGTACTTACGGGAAAATCTGTTGTAACAATTTGGAATGAAATTAACATGTGTACATTAATATAAAGGTAAGACAAAATAGTTTGATATATTCTATGGGTGGTTGAGTTAGGAGCACATTTGTATAATATAATATATATGTTTGTATATTCGTAAAATTAATTCGATTTTAATTATATTTTCACATCGTTTTTAAACAAAAATATTAGCGAAAATATCTATCGGAAGACAGCTTTTGACAGGAAGCCACAGTGTATGTTGAACACTAAGCGATCAAATCACTTAACTTGGTACCAACCGTTGTCGCAGGTACGTTGCACATCGTGGTCATTAAGTTTTCACAAGTAAAGGCGGCACTTCATCAGTTCATTAAATTTGGCTCGATCGAGAATTATACGAATATAAAACTGATCTAAGTTATATTTCAGTGCGCTCTCGTCCAATGTTAGTTACACTAATAAAAATCTCACTTTCTGTTAGCCTTCACAATGTAGGTTTATATACCCAATAGGATTTTTAGTATCGCGATGACATGGCGGGGATACAGTAGATCTATCCATTTACAGGGCAAATATTGCACCAGCTGTTCTAATAAATACGCTTTTACGTTTTACGATTGCTGCAATCACTTATCACGAGCTCAAAGAGTGTCAATTATTATGCAAAACTGAAACTACGTGTTACAAAAAGAAATGATTTTACAATTTTAAGAAGAAAGATAACAATCTCAGCTCAGTCCTTATGTGAGAAATGAACTCAAATCAGATATACTAGAATGTTCAAAATCTACGTTTTTCATTCAAAACCTGTAATAAGCTTACTTCAGTTCCTGTATTTATGTTAAATCGGTCCACAGGTTTTGAATAAATAGCTTTTCGCTTAATCGTCAGTTAAAATACAGTTAATATATCAAACATTTAACTATTCTTCAGTCCCTGAGTTGTATAAATATTTTCCTACATCTTACTCGATTTTAATGATTTGTATACTTTGGTTCTGATGAAACTCTTGACGTGCCAAAATAGAATTAAACAGTTGCGATATAGTAGGTTTTACTCGTACCCATCAACAATGTATATACATGTATACATATCCATGTATAATTTATATATATTCAATATAAAAATATTAAATTTCATATAAAGTCATAAAGTGTACCCAAAACCTACGTGATGGTACAAAACGTGCTCGATTACGCCAAAATGGCGCTCGCACTGCGGATTTCGAATCCCTCACAGTTTATAATGTGGAAATCAATCGTGGAATTTTTTTCCGTTTGAAGTTCTCTAGTGGAATGTGCCGACCGCCTAAAAATAACAACTACGGTTGATTCAGTACATGATTCTCAAAAAAGGATCACCTCGCTATTCGCGTAATTCAAACATGAGTTCCGACGTACAAAAGTTTGTATAGACTCGTAAAATGTATAAATAGACTTTACATAGAAGTGCTTATTGCTAAATGTTGCCGTAACGCCCGCACTGTTGAGCCGCGTGGGCAGCTGTTACTGTTGCGACACGGCCGTCCGCTCGGCAAGTCGAACTCTTGCGAGGCCACCCTGCCGGGCTCCTAAGGGCTGCTACAAAACATGAATCGAGAAATAACTTATTGGAAGTTTACGGTATACAATTCAGTCTGATGGGTTTGGCAACGAGGTTATCGATTAGGATAGAGTATTTGTGTTCGAGTACATTTACGTTTATAGTTAACGCGACGCCCGAAAACGCCGAATTTCTTACCGTCAAAGCAACTTTGCGAAGCTACGTGTAACAACATAATGGGGGAGGATTTGTGGGAATGCGTACGCGCTTCGGTTTTGCGTGCGGTTTGTGAGATAGTCAGCAAAGTTATAATAGTTATATCGTCGTGTGAAAGGGACGCCGGAGGGCTCGAGCACGTGACATTTAAGAAAGTTTAAAAAAAAAACTAAATAAAATGTTTTATAATAAGATATTCGCGATCCGTGGAAGACTGTTCCAGTAACCATGTTTTCGAATAGTTTATAATACTATATTTTTCATCGGTATAGAACCATATCCAAATAAAACGACTAAAGCACCATGCCAAACTCCATTGGACGTACATACATAGTTCCATCCACATAACCACGCTGTAGTCTGAAGTATACGCTTTTTAACTCATCAACTAATTCTCGCTAACTTATCGCTTTCCGAGCATATGTTTAAAATTTGCCGTCTAACTACAACGTGACATTACAAAGAGCAACCTTTCATTGTATTTTAAAAATACTTATACCTCAACTGAAGATTCTGAATCTTCTCAATAAATTTTTCGGACAAGATCTAAACGGTTTCTTTTTCCTCTTTAACCATAACACACAAGTCGTTTCTTTGACTTTCAACCTCTTTTCTACAAATTTTTTTCAACATGATATGACCATTTCCAAACATTTCCAAGCTATACCTTTTCAGATATTGCTCTTCTCCAGAAAATTTAACGTAACAAAACCTCTTTACTTTAAACTTTCCAACCAGTCTTTCTTACAAGTTTTGGAAATCCGGATTGCGCGTTTTGTTGATTAGAGTGATTATAAAATTTACATTCAGGCGTTCGTAGTGTAATTTTATAATTCCGGTTGTCTTAACGATATATGACACTGAATCGAAAAATAAAAATGTTAATTCCCGTACTGTAGATAAATCTAAATTTTTAAATTCAATCGGTGAAATTATACTATGCTAAAATAAATACCTAACTACCTTAAATAACCTTGTCAACGTGTTCAAAACCTGCGCCTAAATCTTAGATTTAAAATTTTCATAAAACAATAATAAAATTATAATGTCAAAACACATTTAAATTGCAGCTATATCTATACATCAAATCCTCTTCCTCGAACCGTCAAAAGACCTCATCAAAACATCACAGCGAATCAACCGTCCAGCGTAAACCAAAGGGACCTTAGACGAAGCTCATCAAGAAAATAAATATTCCAGGCGATTGGTACCGACTGAAATCAGGCTAAGAAACTAGGCGCCGCGGGGCGGAGCTTTCGATGAAGTCTACAACGGCCGCAAACTAAAACTAAAACAAATTAACATCGTAAAAAGTCACAGTTGCTTTGATTTTTGGCTCGTGTACAGCGTGGATTTTAGCGTGGCTTAACGTCTACTTGGGGGGCGGGTAGGACTGGTAGGCCTCGTCGGGCGATCCCGCGGTGGATGCGTGCTCGCTCTCCATTGGCATCTGGATGATCGGCGGCGTCGGGCCCGCGAAGAACTGGTACGGAGGCGACGGGAAATACTGAAACCCACACGTCACACAAATCAGTGTTTCGGCGAAACAGCCTCGAGTGCGATAATCAAAGCGTTAAAGAAACAATTGAATGACGATTGAACATAAGCAATGGGACAGTTTTACGTTTTTGGTTTTTTGAAGAGCGTTCAACTTGGCTAGTTAATATGAGCACTCACGTATAATTCATTTTCCGGCCTTAAGCTGTCCCAGTTTACCTGGAAAAGGAAAAGAATTCAGTCTTTTGTTAGTTTTATTTTGACTGAATATTCCTCTTTGTTCTGTATGTTGGCCGTTTTTATTACCTTCGTCTTCTCTACATGTTCAAGCAAAGAATAAAATTCCGTCCTTTGCCCATAGTGTACGTATTAAATTAATGTACAAAATATAAAATAATGATTAATAAGTTTATGAACACATTCAGTAAATTTTTCGAGTAAAAGTAATATAGGTATAAATATAAATATTGTACAAAAAAAAATATCTTCTTAAGTGTATGCATTTCAATTTTTTCATGTCAGTTATTGAAATTTATGTTAAGAAATTATGGAATAAGATAACCTTTGGCCGCACTGTCACTCTATCGCGCTTTTCTCAACGCTTGCCCGCAGAGAAAAGCGCGGGAACGCCGATTCGATTTCCGTGTACATTACTCGCGCTCAAAGCGGTGTATAGTCTGTGGCCACTCACGTATTGGCTGGGCACGGAGTCAATGGGCAGGTGCGCGGGGTGCGGCGCGTGCGCGGCGTGCGCGTGGTGCGGCGCGTGCGTGGGCGGCAGCAGCGCCGCGTACGGCGCCAGCCAGGCGGCGGGGTGCGCGTGCAGCTGCGGGTGGTACGCGGCCACGCCGTACACGCCGCCGCCGCGGTACACGCCCGCGCAGTCGCCCGCGCCCGCCGCGCCCACGCCGCCCGCGTACACGCCGCTCACGCTCATCGCCTGGAACCACACCGTCTGCTCAACGTCTCCACGGATCTCTCACAGATCGCTCGCTTCGTGTTCACAAATGGGGGGAGGGAGATTGGGGGATGTGCATGGGAGAGGTTTAGTTAAATATAACAGATTCGAACACCATTTTAAAGAATTTGTTTCATCAAAAAAACTTTCATTTAAATTTCTCTTATAAAGAATAGGCCATCCGGGAAGTACCACAACCTCACAGAAGACCGGCGTAAAGTGTAAGTGTTATATATTTCTGCATTTGGTACGGTGAGTTTTGTAGCCAGTTTATTAAAAGGTCAGGTCATCAAAACATCAGGTGAATCGCTAGCTCGCTTGCCGTCTTCTTACATAAAAAAGTATCATAATGAATCTATTGACAATTTGTTTATATGAATAATACCGAAGTAGACTGTAAACGTTATTATTCACAAGAAGATAATTTTCATTGATAAATACACATTTAATATAATTATGTATTACTAAATCACCATCTAATGACTGATCACGGTACTGTGCGAAAATTTCCGAAGGTTCAACTAGTATATGCATATTAGGGATCTACCTGTGTGATGGATTCATTGTTGTCTCGCCATACTCTGCCGTTAGTGTCGTTTTGTTTGTACAGCGCCTTCTTTTTGTTCCCGCCGTCAGCAAACTTCACCAGCAGCGGCTCCTTAGCGCCTGGTATCGAGTTACCATTAAACATCTGTAACAAAAAAAATTTACATAGAACGGAACATTTTCATATTGATATGAAAATCCATACTCAGTTTTATTTTTACGAAATTAATTTATGATGAGTGATAAGATTTTTTTACGACGCTCCATCTGACCTCATCCATTGGACGGCTTAATCACGAGTCGAGATTGTGCAAAAGCACAAAGGAGATCGTGGTATGGTTGCGGACGTTTGTAAACTTGTGCTCACTTGGATGATCTGCTCGCACTTCTCCCTGGACTCCATTCTGGCGAAGCCGACCCCTTTGCTATGGCCGTGGGTGTCGCGCAGGATCCTCGTGGACACGACCTGTCCGAACTTGGCCAGCAGCTGGTCAACGTCGTTCTCCTTGAAGTGGGGCGGCAGGTTGGCCATGTACAGATTGGTCGGATCCTGCTCCTGTTGCTGCAAATAGCCCCAATAAACACATGAAATGCGCGTACCGAAATTTGAAATGCTCAAATGAATTTGACTGTCTATCGTGAAATCTTAAAATATTCTTTTCAGTAATTTCCAAGAACCAGAATCCAATAGATTTCTGCGACAAAAGTATGAGCTGTGGGAAAGTAGAACAATTCGAAATGGCAAAGAAACTCAATTTAAAGAAGCTGGACTTGTCTTTATATTGCTATGAATTGACGCATACGTCATCGCTTTCAAAAGAAATGAAGGCTATTTTGGGAATTATGTATATTGAGATTAGCGTGAAGCCCGCATAGATAATCTAGACATTGAAGCTCTGACGTAATCAGCAGTTAGGAGTCTAATATGCTATAATATAATAATTATTATGTTTAATTATGTAAATGTTATCAACAACATGGGAATATATCAGCATAGAGATTATGAAGCTGGTTAAAGTCGCATACACTAGTTTAATATTGAAAGCATAGAAATACCCAGAGCCCAGTAGCGATAGTACATTGTTATAACGCTAAAGCAAACGATAATAGTACAGAATCGACAGGATGGAACAATGTTTCGATTAATTTTAGTAAGCGTAATGCTGGCGCCGACAGCGTACCATTGAGAGGAATTGCAAATACTTACAAAGAACTAGTTTCTCACTTTCCACGGACACACGGAAAGTGTCAGTTGTGACGGTAACCGAAAACAAACTGACAGATGGGTTATCAGACTCATTTTTTCAGGTGATAGAACAGGACCTACAAAATCTAAATCGGGATATATAGCCCTCATTTGACAAAAATAAGGAAAATACGTGTTAAGATTTCAGATCCACGAATGGAAACGATAATTAAGGTACCAGGTACAATTTTTGTATTGAACTAGCAATTAACAGTAGAGATCACATTGGTATTGTTGGTCGCCTATTATATATAACAGCATATTTTTAAGTAGGTTTAATACTAAGCTATAAATAATGGTAGAAGGAACAAAGGATGGGATTGGGATAAAAATAAAATCATTAGGTTAAGTTTAAAAATAACATAAAACAAATCTATATTAGGATAATTGATAAATCATTTTTGCTATGGTCAATATGCAGTTTTAATTAGTATTAATAACTATATATTAATTATATTGGGAAATGGTACCAGAAACATCCTCTTTCCCTTCACACTTAATTTGTCATATTCGATAGATGTTAAGAAATATATATTAAAAACAAAAATAAAGTGAATTGGGTAGTTTTCCTCTCAAAGAGATGATCACAGCGCTTATGTGTATAAACAGAAATATTAGGAATGTTGGAATAAAAACTTGTGGATGAGTGAGCGGGTTAGGATCAGGCGGTTAGTCATAATAGTATTACTTGCATGCACAACGTACACGGTTCAGTCTACGCAGGAACCAGATACCCACTTTAGCCATCTGGGCCTGAACACCTTTGGCTTGTAATCCTTTAACAGCTGCCTCCGCTGACGCGATAGATTCGAAATCTACAAAACCATAACCTGCGAAGACAAAAGTGAAATGATTTTACAGTGACGTTGTCTTTCCATTGTAAGACAACGTTAAATACTCTTTAGAAAACTTCCGAAGATACATGCTCAGTAACAAATAGAGGACATCTATAAAAATCAATTAAATATATATATTTATAAAAAAATAATAAAGTAACTATCATAAAAAAACATCGGAACTAATGACACCAAACATGAGTTAATAATACCTACTTGCCTAATTAAAAGTAGCGTGATAAGGTGACTCGGAAAAATTAACGCATCTCCATGGATGCAAGTGTAATTTCGTAAATTCGGAAACGATATGTGCTTTGGTGCATTAAACAGTGAAGATGACGCTACTAATATAGGTAACACGTGAAATAAAGACATATATATAATAAAAAAAAAGAGTTAATCGAATCTATAGATCGTGCATATATTGGAAAAATTCTTACCATAGATGGGTTATTTTAATGGAGATATATGGTATTCTAGAAAATAGTAATATTATTCAGTTACGAATAGTTCTTTAATATGTATCAAATTTGATTTGTAGCATTAAACGTTGAATTAACAACAATATACGTTATATACATACGTGAAATATCTATGCACTGATAAGGTAGGTTCAACTAGAAGTAAGATATGTTATGTAGATACAGCAAACATAGAACTATGACTGTTTAAGACGGGGGACGTTACAAATGTTGTTTACCTTTACACTTGTTTGTATTTTTATCCAATATTGCCTTCGTTGAAATTATGTTGCCGTACCTGAAAGAAAAATTAAACGTTATGTTGAAAGTATAAACCAGAGATACCTCTGGATCCGATAATGGTACATACGATGTGATGCATACTATATTCTGATTACGCTGAGATAGGGAAAGATGTAAGAAAATTTGTGTTTTCCGTGATGATTTTTCTGAAGATAATCACAGTATGGCTTAACACAGACACCGGTCTAAAGTTCTCGAATTCAGACGCGATTAGAACGAGACTATTCTTTCACGCTTGAGCGATAAGATCGAAGGATGATTCTGATAAAGTATCGGTGACACTGACGGATCACAGAACAGGGAAGTGGGATTAAAGAAAAATATTATCTTTATGTATTAATATTGATTAAAGAATGCTATGTGATTAATACATTTCTACTGCGCCAAGTAAAACATACATACCTCAATATGACATCGATTAATCGATTGTCAAAAAGTAAATAATCAAATGGCGGACTCTGAAATAGCTTAAGTTGAACAAAAAGCTGCACTGCGGGCATACAAATTACAGTCCGCTCGCTGCACCAGCGCACTCACATCTGGCACATTTGGACGAGGTCCTTGTCCGTGGTGTTCTGGCTGAGGCCGCGGATGTAGAGGTTGGTGCGGCTCAGCTGTTCCGAGCACGCGCCCGTGGTGGAGGCGGAAGAGGTAGGCGGCGGCGGCCCGTTGCTGAGGCTGGTGGAGCGGGTGCCCCCCGCAGAGCCCGTGTTCGACGAGGACGACGAGGCCGTGTTGGCGGGGGAGGCGGCAGTCGGCACGCGCGTGCCGTTTGCACCGCACCCTCCGGTCATCGTCACGCCCGCGTACTGCGAATATGAGTCCTGTATCACGATGTGCTCTTTGTCGTGAGCACCAAGCGCCGCGATGTATTTCTTTTAAGCGAACCGTTGTCATGCAACACACAATTGCGCCATCGAGTGACCAATAATTTCCACTAGTTTTCAATATGGTACTTAAAGAGTTCATCTTCTTGCCCCTTTTTTGTTAAAAGTTGGCAAACGAGCGGCCTTTTCACCTAATGTTAAGTGAATATTGCCGCTCCCAGCTTGCCCATTCGTTCCTCGACAGCAGAAGCTGTTGTGTGGCTCTACCACAGTAAATGTGTCAGTATTGGTCACAGGGCTCAAGAAAATACAAATTTCTTGGCGGACTAGTGACATTGTACATCATGTACTAAGCTCAGCTTATAGCAATAATTGTTGACAACTCGCACTGCAGGTAACGTCGCCCTTTTATTAATTTATTCAAAATAGTTCATTTCTGATCGTTTCGTACTGCTTTCGGCCGTCGAGGTAGGTTACACGCCAATCATGGGTAGCTTCGAAGGCAAATTGTCAAACAGATCCGTACTTAATATACACAATAACTTTTGCTGTCCATGACACCAATATGGCTTTATACAATGTCTAGATTTTAAAGAGAATGTGAAAAAAATAATCAGACGTAGTGCAACATAAAGGATGGCATAAACAGTCATACATTTTTTGTGCTGAACACATGTGGCCGGTGGCCAAACGCAGTGATATATTGAGCAAAAACAGTGCTGCATGTCGCCATCTTGTTTGTGCATTCATTTAATAATTGAGATCTCGTCCAAGTGAAACACTTAAGCAAATATTTCGCTGAACAAACAAAGCTTTGATTTCATCCAACGAGAGTATACGTTAAGTAGAATATTAGTGATGACATTTATTAATTGTGTGTAATTTATCATAACTACGATTTATCCATATGCTGTTTATTTTATGATATTAATTGTTAGATGTATGTTTCGTATAAAATTCATTAATCAAGAAAGTATTTAAAAATTCAATCATTAAAAATATTTATAAATATACTAAATTTATGTATGGAAATAGGAAAATATGTATAGGAAATAAAACCTTTAAATTTAAATCTGGTCAAGTTAAATTAAAAAATAATTTTTAGGGCTTCAATTCGCAAATTAATTGAAAACACGGTAAAGACATTAAAATATTATAACCACATATTTAAAATTATTGACTTAGTAATATAAAATAAATGATATTATTATTTTGTAAACAATGAAATCACAAAATATCAAATAAATATACAATGTGACATATAACGTATCTATGGTTTATTGTAGTAGATGCTTGATGCTAATAGTTCTTTCATAATTTCTAGTGATTTCCTAGACTTCTATGAAACTGATTGCAAGTTCGCGGATTAATTAATGTTTTATTTGATAAGCGATTGACGATATATACCTAAGTACTACAATTAAAATAAATAACAAAACGACTATCCGCGAAATATCAAATATTTATCGTCAGTACCAAATTAGGTAATAAGTGGTAAGTAATTTCTTAAGCAGTAATTTCTTAAAGGGTACACACTAAGAGTATGTCTTAATTTTGTTATATAGATTAATACTGGGTATAAATTAAAAAACAAGTTATAAACAAAGAAAGATCCTAACGATCTGGCTTCGCCTCGCAAAACTTTTGAATAGAATGTTATTAACTTTGCTGTCCTATAATTTGGATTTCAAGTGCCAAAATTCTAACATTAATTATATGTCATTTTGTAATAAGAAGGCAAGTTATGTCTTATATTTGGTCTTCTTAGGACAAGGACAAAGTTATTATTTTCTTTCATTTGTTTTACTTTTATTGCTTATTTTTGTGTCGAATAAGCTAGACATCATTTTTTAAACGAATGACTTATAGAAGGCGGGATAAAATGGAGATAACTGCAAGATCTTACGCAAAGAAAATTTGCACACAACCGTAACTAAGAGACGCTAATGTCCTTTAGCAAACAACGTCTGCGCCGACATTGGATGGAGTCGCCGCGACGTCGACTGATATTAATATAGCGCGGGTTGCCGGCATCATAGCGGCGGGTTCATTGAAAATAACTGCTCCGTGAGACGTGTAAGACTCCAGCCATTAGTTATTTAGCAAACGGGTAATGAATAGGGTGGAGTAATGAGCGCAAGTCGATTCAGAGCACGTTTCTCGATCGAGTCGCGTTCGCCGTATACGCCGGTAGTGCCTTCCGTGGACGTAGCCGAGGGAAGGCAACGGTATGGGCAGCACGTGGCTCCCTCCCCGTTACGGACGGACAGTTAGTTCGGCCTAACGAGTCGGAGATCGCGCAGCGAATCCGGAATCGCTACCGCCGGCAGAACTGGTACGGTGCCAATCGGAAGGAATAAGCCCGCGCGCGTTGCCGTATCGGGTAAATTGGTACTCTCTAGTATGCATTTAGTTGCGCTTTTAATTGTTTGAAATGTATTCTCCTCTTGTAAAATGAAACTATTATATAAAAATAAATTTTATGGAAAACGAATTATCGTCTCTTTTTTCCCTTGCTTTTCAAGCAGTTACTTAAACGAAATCAGAAAAAAAAAATGTCTAAGCTGCTTTAAAAAGTTTCTATTTAAACACGATTTAATATAAAATTACGACAATGTCACGCGCTACAATTATTACAATAAGTTTTATAAAGCATATGTTTATATTTTACTTTTTTATGTGAAAAGTTGCCAAACGAGCAGACGGATCACCTGACGTTAAGTGAATACCGCCACCCATGAACATCTGCTACACCCGAGGGTTTGCAGATGCGTTGCTAACCTTTTTGGAAATTGGGCTCCGGCTACCTCACTCACCAGACGAAACGCGAAAGTATACTTCCACTTAACGCCGGTCTTCTGTGAGGTCGTGGTACTTACCCGGACGAGCCTGCTCATTCGTGCAACAGCCGAGGCTGCTGCGTGGCTCTACCACCGCATCCTGACCACCGCATACATCACGTACTGATTTAATAACAGCAATACATTATGTAGGTTTAATATGGTTGTACTAAGTCTTCTATAAAGATTTAATACCATTGTAAATTAGATTCCTAAGTTTAATATATAAGGGCTAAAAAAATCATCATGACGGTCTTTTACTCTTTTAATTACCAGGAAAATGTAAATATATGCGTACATGCCATATTCGTGTGACAAGACAATTTATTCGAAACTAAAATAATTTGAACTAGTTCACATATTAGGACGCTAAAGATTGTTCCAAACGTAAACGTTGTTGTAAAAGTAGTGATGATTACATTCTCTTTGGATTGTACGTCGTTAAATTTCACTCAATATGAACGTGATAGGGTTGCTATATCCAAATAAGAAAAAAAAAACAAAAAAAATCTGATAAAAAAAAAACTTGATATAAACATACAAATAAAAATTGCAAATTGACATTCAAATGGTACGTGGAGCACAATTTTTAGATTTTTTTCAAATTTTAGCGAGAGGGAATTTTGCTAGAGCCTAGCCGTATGTCTCGATGCTTGTATCTGGTGGAGTTTTATGTAAACTTAATGTTGGTTCTGAGAAAAGATAAGTACGTAAGTCGTTACCTTCGTAATAGCTCAAGTAAATGAAAACTGGCTATATTGAGCACTTAAATGTGCTTAAGAGTAAAGAAGCAATTTATTTTTTAATTTAAATTCAAGCCGACACTAAAATGTTTTCATTTTAAAAAATGCGTTAATTGGCGTTTTCACGCTGTGGTTACAATGATGAAATGTTTTTCACAAGGCTTGTGCTATTGACGGAGAATTTAATTAGATATAGTGATTAATTGAAGCGGGCGGTGGTACAAGCGGATCGTTATTATTAATTTAAGACGCAAGGAAATACACCTATTAAAAGCCTTCTAAAAGATTTCACGTAAAGTTGTGTTTCGTTATTCCAGTTCTAGATAATAATTAACGTTTGCTTTATAACTGTATATCGAAACGAAAATTTAAAAGTTAAATAAACCGCGGTAACCGATTCGTTTACAATGTGTATTCTATAAATAATTTCGTTCAATTTATTGTTTCCAACAAAATTTTCGCTTCTGTTAAACTTTATTATTTAATTATCTAAGGCGGATAGATTATTAACAAAAGCTACCCTTGTGGGAGCTGGGTCTAGACGTTTCCTATTGCCTTTGCGGTCGGAACCTCTCGGCCCGAGATTGACTAACAATTGGGTGGTTAAAGTTTAAGCAAACAAGAGTTTGCCAGTATCAAAGTAAATTTGTATGCATCAAAGTAATTCATTGTTAATCTTTTAGTTTTGGGACATTATTTTTCTATATATTTTCTTCATTGATGGATTTCATTATGTATACGTATGTCTATACCATGATAAAAGTAATTAAATTTCTGTCTCTGATGGCAAATTAATGACAAAATGTATCCCTGCTTATTTCAATGTTTGTCTCGAATGGGATAGAAAAAGGTTTAGCAACTCTGTGATAGTACTGTAGTCATTTATTAACGACTGATTAGTTAAACGACTATTTAGTTTATCAGTTTTGTGCAGTACCAACTTAGATTAACTAACGCGATATTGGATACTTTAATCGCTTTTTTATTGGTGTAGGCGAACATAGCGATAATGTTTAATAACTAGTATAGATGACACATGTCCATATTGCGCGGCGTACAAGAAATTTATATCCAGTACCTAGCTGCTGTACCTCCCTTAATACGCGGTCAGGTATAAGTAAAAAAAAATACCAAGATCATCAGCAATATTTACTTCTATAGTTATTTGGCAACCCGGTCGAAATCATAATAGGTCGTACTTACGAATTTTGACAAAATTCACGCGTCCATTTAAAATCGTATGCGTATTGAGTTTGCTCACTAACGGGAGTTTATTGTAGAACGCGTTTATGAAAGGAATAACAGGAACTACGGCTTTAGTCCACTTACGGATCTATGTACTCGCGAATACAAAAACAAGTGAGTCTGGCGAGCCCGTTCGCTGGCGTGGAAGCTTCCA